ACGATTATGAAATGATGATGGCTTTATCAATTGGAGATTTCTCAACTGAAGTTCCAGACACCTATCAGGAAGCTGTGAAAGATAGTGGATGGAATGAAGCAGTAAATCAAGTTATCATCATTAAAGAAAAACAACACATGGAAACTAGTGCCTAAATCAAGTATTCCAGATAGCGAAAAAGTGATCGATTCTAGATGGATTTTTCGTGAAAAAGATGTTAATGGTGAAAAAATAAAGAAAGCAAGATTGGTGGCTCGCGGATACCAACAAACAGACTTAAGTGAAGAAGTGTATTCACCGGTTGCAAGAATGCACACATTGCGTATCTTGTTATCTTTGAGTATTCAAGAAGACATGGAAATACATCAGCTTGATGTAAAGTGCGCGTTCTTGAACGGAGACTTGAAACAACTATTGTACATGAAAATACCAGATGGACTTAAATCCGATAATGACTCAAAAGTATGTAAATTAGTGAAAGCACTATATGGACTTCGCCAATCTCCAAAATGCTGGTATGAAAAAATGAATTTTCACTTATTTAAATTGGGTTTTGTGAGATCAAAAAGTGATCCATGCTTGTACTATTCTGAACATACCTATTTGTTGATACACGTATAGATGATTTGATTTTAGTTTCCAAATTAACATCAGAAATTTGTGAAGCTAAAGATGAGCTTATGAATGTTTTTGAAATGGCTGACTTAACTGACGCTAAAAAGTTGACATTTTTAGGATTAAATATCACAAAAACAGATTTTGGTTTAACTATTTATCAAAAAGAGTTTTTGAATGTTTTTCAAATGACAACATGTAAAATTACCTATTCAATATAAACTTAATTTGGAAAATAGTAATGGTGAATGTTCTGAACTTTTACCATATCGTGAGCTTATAGGATACTTAATGTATATAATGCTAGGTAGTCGTCCTGATTTATGCTTCGCAATAACGTATTTCAGTAAATTTTAAAGTTCATACTCTGAAATTCACTGGAATTATCTTAAGCATGTTTGCGTTACTTGAAAGGTACAGAAAACTTTGGTTTGAGGTATTAGACTATCCAAAACACGTGACTTTGACAAGCAAAATATGGCCGACAAGAGGCACACAATCATTGACACAAACACAAACCATAACGTCATCATGTTATGTCAATAATAATCATAATTCAATACTTATTTTCTATTGTGTGCGTCCCAGTTTTTGCCAGTTTCTACCCAATTACGCAATCCTTATCGTTTGGGCAAGGTTACTCGACCTGCATTTCACTTGGACACGCAGGATCTACCCTTGATGTGAAAATATTTATTTATTTCAACTCCACCGTACAGTGTTTTGATTTATTTTGTTTTTTTCACTTGGAATTTGAAAAAAATTACGAATGTGCCGATCTCCACGACTTCCACATTTAATGCTACAACACGTTGTAGGCATGTTTTACGCGTTTTTGAAAACTATTTAGCACTATGTACATACACTATTCAAATACACTATTTCTAACATTAATGAATAGTATATTGTTGTATTAGGAGTAGAAGCTTTACTTTTTTGTGCTGAAGCAGTAGGTTTGCGAGCCGACCGTAGTGAGGCTTGCAATACTGCTGAAGCACAAAAAAGTGCTTCTACTCCGTATGCAACACGCTATTTTTTCTCCAAACAAATGGGGTAAGCTCGGGGGTAACTGAATGGTTAAGCTGCAGTAAAAGTACGAGCGGCACTAAAAGTACTTTTGCTGCCGCTGGGGTTGCCAAGCAGCGTAGAAATTAAATTTCTACCACCTCGACAGGTGTTAACCTGCTGGATTTGCCTACCAGCATAGAAATTAAATTTCTGACATCTTGACAGAGGTTAACAAAGTGGCGTTTTTTTGACGTTTGGAGAAAAACAGTTTTAAGTATCAGAACGCAAATAATTCACAATGAGCCCTATTTTAAGCTCATACATTATTTGATGACAAATTTGATGACACATAAACAAAGGGTTTGTGTGCCTCTTGGCGGCCATTTTAATTCAAGTTTGACAGCATCTTGGATAGTCTAATACAAAAAGCAATGACAAAAGTGTGTAAAATATTTTGTCAGCTAATGTTGATGCTGATTTTGCGAATGACGTCACAGATAGAAAGAGTGTCTCAGGTTTTGCTCTCAAAGTTTTCGGTAACATAACTTTTTGGAAAACCAAAAAGCAAAACACAGTCTTAATTTTAAGCTCAGAGGCCGAGTACGTTGCTTTGTCAAACTGTTTGACTGAAGTTTTATTCGTGAAACAACTTTTGGAAAAAAAAGTTCAATTGTAGTATCTGTCCAATCACAATCTATGAGGACAACCATTCAACAATAAAAATGGCATCTAGGCTTAAAACGAAGAGAAGTAAACACATCGACGTTAAGCATCATTTTATTAGAGACAGTATTTTCAAAAACGAAATATCTAATATCTCTAAAATATTTGAAACAAATGAGCAAGTAGTAGATTTGTTTACTAAATCTCTGAGCAGTGCAAAGTTTAAATATTTTAGAAATAAATTAAATATTAGTGTTTGCTAAATGAGTAGTTTATTTTAAGTTAAGTTTTCAGAAATTTTGTTTTGTGTTGATTTTTGATTTCAATAAGTGGTTCTAGATTGTGAGAATTGAGGAAGTGTGTTAATGTTACAGTTCATAAATGTGAACATCGAAATGTTCCACGAATGTACCCCAAATGACTTTGTCTGTCATGAGTGTCATCTAAGTTGTTGTTGTTGTTCGTCAGCTGTAAGAGCATATTTTAGTTTATTAAAATAAACCTTTTTACCCCAGGGAAATTAGACTTGCTCTGCGGAATGAGGCCGAACAAGCTGAATTTTTGCAGAGACCTTCGTTTTGATGTTCTAATGAAGCACAAAAAAATCGAATATGCCTATTCTTGTGCGTCTTGAGATATCGAAGGTCAAATGTCACGAAAATTTTGTTTTTTCGAGAATCTCGCTTCCGGTGCACCTGACGTCGAAGAACTCGAAACAAAACTTACATAAAATAGCATTTTCTACAAAATTGTTACTATACATTTTTTTATACGACCAACCGTTTTCGAAATATAGCGTGATAAAGCGGGAGCGCATATTCAAAATAGGTCATACTGTATTATACAGGGTTTTCCCGTTCAACTGGTCAAAAATTCTAGGGTTTATAGAGGAACCATAGAGAAGTAATTTGAAATAGGACACTGAAGGTCGGAAGTGCGTCGTTTCCAAAATACAGGGTGTTGAAATTTAAGCAACCCCCTTTCATATCATCTGGAGGGCTAATGCTAGGCTGTTCAAATTTTCAGGGATTATTGATGTAGAAATGATATTTAAAAATTCGTATAATGCACCCCCATTTTCTACCTAGAACTACCCCAAAAAAAAGAAAAAAATTGTTTTTTTGTCAAATTTTAAGTATTTTTTTTTTGAGACGGTTCTAGGTAGAAAATGGGGGTGTATCATACGAATTTTTAAATATCATACTTACATCTATAATCCCTGGAAATGTGAACAGCCTAGCATTAGCCCTTCAGATGATATGAAAGATAATAAAAGGGGGTTGTTTAAATTTCAACATCCTGTATTTTGGAAATGACGCACTTCTGACCATTGGTGTCCTATCTCAAATTACTTCTTTATGGTTCCTCTATATACCCTAGCATTCTTGACCAGTTGAACGGGGACACCCTCTATAAGATAGTATCACCTATTTTGAATGTGCGCTTCCGCTTTATCACGCTATATTTCGAAAACGGTTGGTCGTACAAAAAAAATGTATAGGAATAATTTTGTAGAAAATACTATTTTACGTAACTTTTGTTTTGGATTCTTTGACGGCAGATGCACTGGAAGCGATATTTTCGCAAAAAAAACGATCTTCGTGACCGTTGACCTTCGATATCTCAAGATGCACAAGGGTAGGCATATTCGATTTTTTTTTGCTTCATCAGAACATCAAAACGAAGGTCTCTGCAAAAATTCAGCTTGTTCGGCCTCATTCCGCAGATGGCCATTTTTTTAGTATAATTTCCCTGGGGTATTTGTAATATCGTATTAAATAAAAGTCTTTAAAATAAAAGCATCTGGTTAATACTATGAACATTTAAAATAGGATTCAATTAATTTTTTTTTTGGTAACTCAGAAATTACTTCCTGAATTTCTTCCATTAAAAAGTAGCTTTGAAGTCACGAAACAAGTAGGAAAGAGATTTGAGATTATTCTGATGGGATTTCTGGAAGTGATGACAAAGTTTAATTAGTTATGACATAATTATTGTAGTTTCCCCTCGACATTGCCGATCCGAGCTAAGCCAATTACTCTATTTCGCATTTGAGAATAATTGGGCAACTCGATTTTGAGTTGAAGAAACTATCCAGCTCAAATTAACTAAAATTTGAATAAACCAAAAAATTCCGCATAATAAAAAAAGAATAATACATCTTTGAAAATTGAAAATGTCTGAATTGGAATAAACTTATTGGCCCTGCCATGACTGCAATCTACAGAATCGATAATTCAAACGCCTGGAATCCGTTAATGAGCACTGAGAATTATCAATAGTAATATAACTAGTGCAATGGAAATTATTGATAATTTTTGGGAAATTTGCCCGAATGCATTTTTAGTTGAAAAAGAGCAAGAGTGCACGTAGTGCACGAGTGCCTTTTTCAGTTAAAAACGCATGAGTGTAAATTTGTCGAAAATTATAAATATATTTCCATTGCACGAGTTGTATTTAATGAGAGAATTTCATAAATCAAAAATTAAATTTTTTTGACAAATAATGTCAAAACACCAGTTTTTGCACCAGTTAGTATGCAATTATCTGATAATTTGCACTAGTGCAAATTATCGCCTAATTACAATCTGATTGGTTCAAATCAACAATCAAAACATGTCAATTTATTGTTGGAATACCAGTTTTGACAGATGTATGAAATTCTCACTCATAATATTTATCAATTATTCCTATAATCGTACCAGTATTCTTACCTAACGCCGTATAGCATTCTTGCAAAAAGACATCTCCATAAATGGCACTGATTTGCCCGAGAATCCCCTGAGGAAATTCCGTTAGCAAAAACAAAATCAGCACAGCCAATAGCATCTTTGTAGTCCTGTCAGCTTGAGTCTCTTTATAAAGCTTTATAAAGTTAGACTTGCTCCTTTGTCTGCTCATATCTTCCAACGGGTTGCAGGAGTTCAATAACTTTGTCCTACGCTTTTTGGTATCTACAAGAGCTGCTATGATTTTGCAGGAAAGTATACTCAATAATAAGCATGGCAGGAGTTTTAGAACTAAGCTGTACACCCAAATGCTCAATTGCCATGGGTCGTTGGGGTATAAAATATAAATTGTTTCGTTTTTGAGTTGCGACTGGTTAAATTTGTGTCTGTCTTCTTTAAGTACTATAATTCCAGACATATCACAGGTTTGCATATATTCAGTAACTTCCAATGTAGAAAACATTGGAAAACACAAAAGGGGACACACTATATAGGTTATCACAATCACTATAAAAGTATTTCTTTGGTCCGAACATATTTTACTCGCATGTATTTGCGAAACATACACGTATCTCCATATAGCTAAGATTATTGTTAAGCAACAAGCAATAAAATGTAGCACTAAAGTAAAAAGCGAATGGAATTTATAATAAACCGCCCAAATGTAATTAAAATGCGTATAATACACCGGGGTATTATGTAAATTTCTATGGATTGTGAAGGGTATGTATTGTAGCATTACTAAAAGGTCGGCAATTGCTAAGCCGGTTAGAATGTAATTAGTAGGAGATCGCATTTGCTTTGTCCTTAACACGCAGATGTTGAATATGTTGGCCACGGATCCCAAAACGCACACCGTCAAGCTTAAATAACCGTGAATGTTCTCTTTGTAGTGTCTTTTGAAGTTTTCGAGGTCGCAGTAGGTGTAATTTGGCATTGTGGCACTGTGGTCGGTCATATTTCATTGGGGCGCAGCTGAATCTGAAAGAGAAATAATATTTGTTAAGAACAGGATTTCAAAATATTAATTAATCTCACGTTTTTCTCAAGAGCAAGTAAGCATAAATAGGGGAAAATAAAACATCAAATCAATCTCGCGGTATAGTTGATGTTAGGCTTATTTTTTTAAACAAAGGAAATTTTAGTTTGCGTTTCCCTTCTCACCACAAGTTTGTGGCTGCTGATAAGCAAATACACCCCCGCTCAGGCCTGAGTACTCTATTCAAATTTACGGTTCCTTTCCATATTCATTGGTGAAATAAAGCCATATTGATTATATGTAATATTTCAAAATCAGAGAGTCCTCCATCATAGTAAGTATAGGCGCCTTTACAAGTTTTTGTGTTGAATTTGGTAAGATATATCAAATCGACTTGATTATAATATATACTTCACTGTCATCGTAATCAAGATGTAGTGAAAATCGATATTCCTTTAGTTCGAATATTGTTTAGATTGAACACAAGTTTGAGGTACATCTAAAGCAAAAATGTATGAAATAAAATATGAATATAGGTTATGCGGATAGATAATTTCCATAGCTATCTATAAATCATTACCCATCGTCATACATAATTCATAACGTCTGCAGGTTGAATGTTTGCCAGAGTCCCTAGAGGCGTCAATGCATACTCGGTAGGCTATAAAAAATGTACAAAAGTTTCAAATTTATGGATGTCAAACTACAAAGTTACCTACTCAAAGTTGGACTGGATCTGAAGTTATTTCTTATTTAAGCTCTTGTACGATTTGAAATTTATTATTAATTATTATTCTCATGTAATGTTTCGTTTTGTTGAAGATGTTAGGGACAAAGTTTCATATCTACCCAGATATTTTAGGTGTGAAGGTAAAATATTGAAAAAAAGCTTTCTAAAATTGCCATTGAATTTCTTTTCAATAATGTTGATGTACCTATCCTTGCAATCCGGATCATTACTTATCTTCATGTCTTCACTTTCACCGACATTATCTAAACCAACTGTTGGAGATATGTATTTTAATCCAGAATTACTATTGTGAATTTAAAAATGTTTTGTGAGGACAGAATGCTGTGGGTAACTAATACAGGTACTAGCTGGTTGAAATCTATCGAATCTATCAGTCAAGAATTGTCATATAAATTGTCATAGAATATTCATTGCTGTAGTCGTTTTACGTGTAATCTTTTTACGTTAAATAAATATTTCATAGTTTGATGCCTCAAAATTCTTCCTAATTACCAAAAGGTTATGGGCCCAGATCAGAGCTGTCAGTACTTCAAGTAAATTACTTGGAAAATGTATTTCAATTACTTTTTAGTATTTGAAGTACTATAATTCAAATACTTTTGTTTTTGAATATTTGTACTTGATTCTAAAAATACTTTCAATAAAGTATTTGTATTTGGTACTTGGATTTACAAAAAAAGTAATTCAAATACTTCTCCAAATGTGAAATTAACATGTCCTACAGCAGATAGGACTGACCATTTTTTTGAACTGGAGGGTTCCCACTACCTGGAGAGTCTTTAAAATAACAATAAAAGAAAATTCGAACTAGAAATTCTTCAATATGCAGAGGATACTAGTATAGATATAGATATAAAATCCTTGGGTAGGTTTCCTGTCATAAAAAAAGTTTTTCATAGGTACAATCACTGATACAATACATGTCTTCCGTCATAAGCCCCTGTAGAAAGACTTTTTAGTTTTGCAGAAATAGTGAACACACCTCGAAGGCATACCAATCCCTCTGCACTTTATTTCTTAATCATCCTTTTCTAGATAAATCTGCAACTGGAATCTTGGAATCTGGAATCTCTGTAGTATTTTTTTAGAGGTATTACAATATACAGGGTGTTCCTAAATATCATGTTCAAACGGAAGGGGTCGATTCTTTGGCTTATTTTATAACTAAAATTTCTAATAAACATAGGTCCGCAAACGCTTCGTTACCGATCTACAGGGAGTTAAAATTTCAATATTTTTTTAGTTTTTTCTTTATAACTCCTGCAATTTTTGAGGAATTTATCGCAAATTTGGAATATAGGTTACGCAATAGGAGCTAAATGATTTCACGTGCAAACGTTTGCCAGGATTTACAGGGTGATGTTTTTTTCAGGGATCAAGCCCTCTTTTCTGCCCCTGGACTTTTATGCAATGCGCCGCTGGTAGATTCTAAAAAACAAAATGATTTTTCTACATTTTTAGAAACTTTTTGTTCACTTGTAGTTTTTTCGTATCACCGACCCTTATCGAGAAAAAAATTAAAAGACAAAATCTCTGTAATTTGCTAGATGAAACTACAGTGACACAATAAACCTTTTCTATCTACAGTGACGACAATAGAGGTCCCGCCGCCATATTTTTGCTCATTTTCAATAGGAATCTAGAATTAAGCCACGCCTTCGCCGCCATATTCTTGCACATTTTCAATATGAATACATTAAAATTTTAACACCCTGTAGAGCGGTAACGAAGCGTTTGCGGACCTATGTTGATTAGAAATTTTAGTCATAAAATAAACCAAAGAATCATTCCTTTCCGTTTGTACATGATGTTTAGGAACACCCTGTATATTTTCAGCTTTCAATACAGTTTGAAAAAAAAAATCAATGAATAATTTGAATTCCTTTTAAATGGGTTCTTGAAGTACTTCTTAATATTTCAAATACACATAGGTATTTGAAATATTTAATTGAGTACTTGAAATACTTACAGAGTATTTGAATTATTTTACTTGAAAAAATCAAGTACTAAACTAAATTACTTGAAACTTGAAGTACTTTTTAAATTGAAAGTATTTAGTATTTGTACTTGCAACATGAATTTCCCGTAATTGATACTTGGTATTTGAAATACTATTTACCAGTATTTGTGACAGCTCTGGCCCAGATACGTTACGTGTGCATAAACCGTGAAAAACGTAAAATTCAAGTAAGTGTTGCAGATCGCGAAAAGTTCATTGCTATTTTTTTATTTATTTGCTGAAACCAATATGGCCGAGTCTTCTTCAAATCTCCATTTAGGATTTGAGAAACTTAATGGTCGGGAAAATTATAAAAATTGGAAATTTGGCATGAAAATGGCTTTGATACATGAAAATTTATGGCGATGTTAGAGGGGTTTTCTGTTGAAGATAAATCAAAGCAGGAACCAGAAGGCTTTATAGCTAAAATTTGCCTTATGGTTCATCCCTCAGCGTACCATCATGTCAGGTCAGCAAGCACAGCAAGAGAAGCATGGGAAAACCTGGAAAAAGCATATTAAGATAGAGGTCTATCTAGAAGGTTAGCCCCTAATACGTGGTTTAGTTCGAGTTAGACTAGAAAACTTTGAAAATATGGAGACATATGTCAATGAAACTATGTCACTTGCTCAAAAATTAAGTGACATGGGTCAGCCAGTGGATGATGAGTTTCTAGGAGTAATTTTGTTGAGTAGACTAACTGCAGACTATGATCCAGTGGTGATGGCTATTGAAAACTCAACTGCAGTAATCACAAGTGACTTTATCAAGACTAAGCTTCTCCAAGATGACAAATATGGAAAGAAAAGTCTGAGACAGCATTGTATTCCAAGTATAAAAAGCAATTTAATAAGAAAAATTTAAAATGCTTTAATTGTGGGCTGTTTGGTCACTTTAAGAGTCAGTGTATCAAAGAAAGTGATATCACTCGAGATGAAAACAAACATGAGAAGAATAAGTCTAATCCTAAGAACACCAATAGAAAAGGTAAGCGACAAAAAGCACTTCATACTGTCTCATGTGGATTAGTAAATACATTTAGTTGGTATGTGGTCTCGGGGGCAACTTCGCACATGTCATATAATTTAGATTGTTTTCAAGATTTTATTACCAAAGGTGACAGTGAGATTTTGGTAGCAAATAACCAAAAACTGAGTAGTGTTGGTGTTGGGAATACAACAGTTTTCACGAAATATGGTTCCAAGGTGATTTCCAACATTATGTGTGTTCCAGATTTAAAGGCCAACTTGCTATCAGTGAGTAAAATGGTTGAAAAAGGTCATGCGGTAACATTTGACAGCAACGGCTGCCAGATATATGAAAGTGAAGATTTCCAAGTTGAAGGAAATATTGTAGCGACTGCATTCAATTAAAATGGGCTTTATCAGCTAGATTTAGTCAATGAATGCACATATTTGACTAAACTGCAAGTATGGAGGAATTATGGCACCGAAGACTAGGACACTTGAACAGAATAAGTATGTCTTCGCTCAAACGTGGTTTGGCTACTGGTATTGTGCCTACAAGGATGAAAAAGGCGATCAATGTAACATTTGTCCTAGAGGGAAGCAGAATCGTCAGCCTTTTAAAAAGACAGGTAGTAGGCGTGCCAAAGATTTACTTGAGCTGGTCCATACTGATTTGTGTGGCCCAATGCCAGTTTCATCATGGAGTGGAGCTAGATATATATTCACTTTAATTGATGATTACTCCAGGAAGATTTTTGTCTATTTTTTAAAGCCAAAAAGTGAAGTTCTTTCTGTTTTCAAAGATTTCCATGTATTCGTAGAAAACCAAAGTGGAAGAAAGTTAAGTGACAATGGCACAGAGTATGTCAATAGTTATCTTGAAAATTATTTGAAATCAAAAGGTATAGAGCACCAATTGACTGTAAGATATACGCCTAAGCAAAATGGTGTTGCAGAAAGGACCAACCGAACAATTGTTGAGAAAGCAAGGTGTCTTATCCAAGAAGAAGAAGAAATTAGAAGGAAAAATGTTGGCAGAAGCTGCGAATACAGCAGTTTATCTGATAAATCGCTTTCTTCTCACAAAAGTGTTCAAGCTTCAACTCCACAAGAAAAATGGACAGGTGAGAAAGTCGATTTAAAACATTTGAGAGTTTTTGGCTGTATTGCGCATGCGCACATTCCTGATCATTTGAGAAAGAAATTTGATTCTAAGAGCAAACAATATATCTTTGTTGGCTACTGTGAACAAACTAAAGGATATAGACTATTTCATGTTGAAAA